CACATTCCAAGCCTAACCTTCAGGATAGTCATCTCGCTTCCGTCTGTCTCTCCTCCTGTCGATGTCCATCTAGGTGTCTTCCACGCTGTAATTCAAAAAACTGACGACGTTACACAACCTACCACAGCCGTTAAAAAATGCAACGTAAAACAAACACTGACAAAATGAATTAAATCTGAAATAACTAGGCTACAGCTTTGGAGGATTGATGTCCATGTTTTTAACGTTTGAAGTGCTCATCCTGGAATTATGGCAGGCAATTTGTCCCAAAAATATCACGGATAACAGATATAAAACATCATATCCACAACGTACCTCAATCAACATCAGCTTGTCTGCCTCTGCCGACTTTGGCACGTCTGCCGACTTCAGCACATCTACCTCTGCTGACATCAGCATCTCTCTGTGCATTTGTGACTATCTCTGCCTGCAACAAAGGTAACATAAAGGGGACATGGGATGTCTGCATAATCAACAGTTCTTTACAAATTACTTTAATTATTAAAGTCCACTGCAAGGTGTCCGTGCAAAAAGATACATAATTTTTTGGGTTCACCACAAAGTGACATACCATCCATAGACTTTGTACACACGATAAGTCAGTTTGTGGTGCAGCAACTATACGGAATATGTCACTTCCTGCTGAGACCGACGTATAGAGGAGGGAATGTGGTACACAATGTGGATTCCTTTCATACAACTTGTTTTTTTACCTTTTGTGGGAAAAGAGTATTTTGGAGAAATATGATGCAAAAGAAAGGGAAAGTAAAAAAACGTCCAATAAACTAAATCTGACGGCCATGTGAAATTCGTGTCTTTAAGCTTGTATACCAATTGGCAAGGTCAATTATAAATGATTCATCTGCTGGAAATATTCAATAAAACTGAAAATAAAGTAATATTTTGGGACAGTCCTTTTTTCGTCGACCTCCAAATAAAGTTGCCTATTCATCTCTTGGTTTTCAGCTGCTGTTTTGGCAGTTGTGTTTCAAAACATAATCAAAACCCACATCCACATAAATCCCCAATCCATCCCACATTCAAGACTCACACCAAGAGGAAGTCGTTTTTCAATTCTATGTTAACTATTAAATCATATGATAAAAAATCCAAAGAAGCTACAGATTGCAACTTCTTAATTTTACCAGAAAACCACTTGATGGTATTATTTACAGCTGAAACCCTGACTTTTGAAAAAGCAAGATTATCGACCAACTTTCAACACCGCCATAAGTATCGACTCTTGAAAGTCAGTGGTATAATATTTGACAATATTTCTGTCACGATGCCGTCCACTGCAGGCCAATCGAGTTTGTGTTAGACAAACATCGTGTATGAAATTACAATCTTTTTCCCAAATGCTGAGCTTCTTCTCAAATTACAAAAGAAATCTCGCTCACCTTAAATGTGAAATCTGTAAGGCATCTAAAACTGCTGTTTGATGAGATGACAGAGATGATCAACTGCTCTGTTCTTAGTTTACTGGAAGCCAATGATGTATGTCCCTCAATAGCCAGCAAGCTGTGGGAAGCCACACAATACCTGCATTTGAAATTGGGTCAGTAAAAGCAAGGGTTTAACAAAAACGTCAAATTATTCTTTTATTCAAGCATGCTAAACTAACCTGTCAGGGTGAGACTTTAATAAAAGACTGACAGAATATGTAAAAATGCAAAACAGAAAAAAAGGAATACATGTCCACCAAAAACATGCAGTTGTCTTCTGCACTTTCACTGGACAGCTCACAAAAGGACAGAAAATTTTAAAAATTTAGAGCTTTTCTAGATGTTTTGGTTCGCTGGTTTTTCCAAAGTTGATACCAAAAAGCCTATTTCAATATGAAATCCATACAACTTCAAACAAAAATTTTAAAAAGGCAAATAGATTTCTACTGAATTCAAAAAGAGGATGGGTTTTTGATTATGAAATGGCTACCCGCAAGGTTCTTGGGAAATTATTATTATTATTTATTTCTGATAATGACACAAAGGATTCCTAAAAAGTACCCTTGGCACTGTGGCTCGCAAGCCTGAAGAAACCTGCTGTGAGGACACAATGAGAAGCAGTTACAGTTTTGAGGTGGGAAGAAAAACCCAGAGGAATTTTCTCGGTAAAACCCACGGAATCAGATAGGGACTAAAAACCCTATCCACGTGCGGACCCAGCCAAAAATAAAGTATTCTCTTGGACTTCTAGTTCAAATAGCAATTTCAAGCATAGTCCACAACTTTTATGACAATGGTTTGGGCAATGCATAATGTCAAAAGCTTTGATTTAGTAAACACACTACTCGCATTCGCGAGATGCAACACCGGCACAGAAGGGACCACTGCAGAAAAGTAGCCACTAGGAACTGGTATCAATGGCAAGGCGTATGCCGGAGCATAACATCAATGGCATCAAGAGACAGGTAACACACATGCATGTAGGATGGTTGGGTATCTACAGGGGGGCTACATCAACGCCTCCTGGAGAAACAACAGAACAGCACTATCCGTGGAGCGGTGATGTTGGTAGGAAAACGTCCACAAATGATTAGAGCATCAGTGACGAGACACCACACTCAAATCCTTACGTGCGTTGTCCAGGATGGGATTCCCTGGTCACTGAATACATGGGTGGAATGGCATCCACTGAG